GTGCGGTCTTCCATATCAGCTACGCAAACCATACTGTGCATATAGGAGGTAACACCTAAGTGCACACTATTTTACTGTAGCACTTGTTTATTAATCATTCTGCCTGGCAACCGTACTGATGGAAATTGCGTCCCTATTCCCATATGGGTTTCGTTCAAATATGGATGTCCAAGATTTAAGACTGTCACGTCTAAATGTTAAAGAAAACACCAACCGTTCGTATTGGATACTTATTCTCATGTCTGTGCAATTGGCTGTTAGCCTGACCTCCAATCGATACACATACATGTTGTTAGAACCAATGTTCATGAGGTCTAATGTGTCGCTATCCAGGTTGTGACAGTTCATACTTAAGTCTAGGCAAGCGCATGTGCATAGGTTGCATTCGAACTGCCATTGGACACTAATGACGTCACTCCATGTATCTATGTATACTGAAGCAATTCGACGAGGATACTCATACCGCTTTTGTAGGGTCAAGTTAGTGAAGGAATGCGGCACGGGCAAACCGAAAAGAACATTAACAGGATATAAAGCATGGGAGTTTATGACCAACTAATTTTGCTTACAGGTGTTGAGAATCCAAGGCCAAGTTGATCGATGCGAATTCCTTGGACTTATCAAAAGGGCGGTTGCCCAGGTGCAGAAGAAAGCATTATTGCACGCGCAATAAAAGTACGAGGTGTACGGTCCCATTCGATTTACTAATCCAAGCCAATAAGGCGGCGTATGTGGTACGTGTGCCTGCGTGATGAGCATTCTTGCATTTCAGAACTAGCTGTTTAAGCTCTCCGGTGTGGCTGCGCCTGATGTGAATGTTGACAAGGTACCTACCCGTTTGATATCCTCCACCTCGATTTCTGGCTCCAAGAGACAGTTGGTCGTTGTTGGAGGGGACGGGGTGCTCGTGCTAGCTTCGTAGAGTGGTTCAATACATTCAGTGTAGAGCGGGCTACGGTGCAGCCACCGCCTTGTGTGCGCTTGGTTCCCAAATACAGAGTGTTTGTGTTTGCCTGTGAAGGAGTGTGGGCCGGCTCCGTTGATGAAACGTGGCTCCCGTTCACATGTCTCCCTGTCTTATTCCTTCGGGTCTACACTGGATATGGTGTATGTGGTTGGCGCTGTGGGTGGCGCAGCGCAAGTCAACCATGGTCCCACTGTAAGCGCAGGCGTCCGGTGGCTGACCACAGTGACAGGCAAACTCAAAATCGGATGCCGCCAACCATGGTTCGTTGGGCGGAACACTTTCACGAACAATTAAGCTGACTCCCTGCTTCGGGACTTCTGCTTACTCAGGTGATGCAGGACGAGCCATGGACGCTTAGTCTCTAGCCTCCGTTGAAGCCGAGGTCCGAAACGCGACTACAGCCCTCAATCGTTTTCGTGTACCTGTCCCGGGTTTCCTCCCGCCTGCACTAGTTAAGGATGGAGGTGAGGTCCACTGCAAAGCACTGACCACCCTATTCGAACATATCTGGAAGGAAAAGTGCCCCGCCAAATAGAGTGCATCGGTTATAGTGGCAATGGCATAGACTGTGTTAACCACAGGGGTTTAGCCTAACGCTAGTTGCGACAAAAGTACTGGCCTCGATTCTAATTCGTCGCCACAATGTAGAACAACAATCCCGGATTAGAGAAAATCAGGCAGGTTTCCGCCTTGGAAAGGGCTGTATAGACCATATATTCACTCTGCAGCAGGTGCTAGAGCAGCGACACGCATACCGCAGACCGACAATAGCCGTGTTCCTCGATTTCAAGAGTGTGTTCGATTCAGTTGGTGGATGCCTTCTGTGCAAAATGCTTGCGCGGAAAAGTGTTCGCACGGAATATGTGAACATCCTACGCGCTTTATACTCGAACACTACAGGCCGCGTCAGGGTCTACGGCGACCTGTCGGATAGGTTTCCGACCGCGAGTGGCGTTCGTCAATTGTCCGATTTTCCTGTTTTTGTTCAATTTCGTCGTGGACTCTATCATGCAGTTTTCCCTTGAGGTCTTTCCTGGGGAAAGTTTAGTTGATCTTGATTATGTGGAGCATATCGCCTTGCTTTTAGACGATGTTGCGACGGCACAAGCAACCCTGAATAGCCTGTCTAGCTTGGTCGCATTATTTGGTATGTGTTTCGCAGCTTCAAAGTGCAAAGTGTTGCTGCAGGATCACCAGCCAGTTGATGACCTCTTGACCCTTGATGACGAGGAACTCGAGGTGGCTGACTGCTTCACTTACCCTGGCAGCCGCATCAGCGATGATGGGTACATAGAAAGTGAAGTCAATTCAGACGTTGCAAAAGTCAGAACTGTCTTCTTGTATCTGCAGCATATTTGGCGGCAGAAGGGTGTTTCTCTTTGTCTGAAGGCCGTGTATGCAACGCCACAGTGAGGGCCGTCCTGGTCTATAGTGGTGAAACTTGGCTCCTTCGGTCTGAAATTCTGAGGCGCCTTCAGGTCTTTGAGCATCGTTGTCTACGAAGCATTGCTGGTGTCGGTTGGCACCAGTGTGTCCGCAACGATGATGTGCGTAGGCGAGTACTAGGCAGTTCTTTAGAACAACAAATAGCATTGAATAAGTTGCGTTGGCTTGGGCACGTGCTACGCATGCCCGGTCACCGCTTACCTAGGAGAGCCTTGTTCAGTCTACCATGTGTAGGGCGGTCCAAGGCTCGAGGTGGACAAACGTTGACTTGGCAGCGGGAAATGTAGTCACTGAGGACCAAACTGGGTGTCGTTGGTCCGTCTCACCTTCCAGGCTGGAGTCCACATGAATCGCCTTGTGCTTCGCTAGGGACTTTACAGGACATGGCTTGCAACCGACACCAGTGGCGTGTCTGCTGTCGTCTCCTAGTCTGATTGCCTGTTTAAAGTGTGTTTGATGCTGAGTTATCTGCATGGTAATGGATGATTATGAAGCGGGACAGTGAAAGCCGCAAGGAAGCTGTCTCGCCAATGCTGCCTTATCTTTGCACGATAGCCAGCTGTTTGTGACGGTACGTTTTCTACACAAGATGCCGGCGCCTTGATCCTGAATGTTTGCTTGGAGCATTAAGGTTTTCAGGTAAGTCCCCCTTCTCTTCTTTTTATTATGCTTTCTTCCTTAGGTCTTCGTGGTTGTATGGCAGCGAAGCATTAGTTCTAATGGCTGATGTACTGCTGTTGTTGATGCTAATGATTTTGTGACCTTGGATTTTATTGTCCTGTGTAGCCTCTGATCGTCCATTTGTTTTACTTATGGCATATCAAATCAAGTTGCTCTCTCCTGACCAGTCGCACTGTTACGCCTCTTCTGTTCCTACTTGCCCGCTCTACATTCCCTGTAGCTCTTTTCAACACACGTTAGGTCCAGGCGCTCTTACTCTTCTCCGTATGCTTGTACTTGACACTCTATAGGTATTGTCGGTCGTTCAACACAAAAGCTCGAACCTAGGTCAGACGCTCGTCCTTTACTTGCTTCATTGCACCAAAATTAGTTTACTTATTGTAATAGTACGTTGCCAGCAGTCGCATTTCCGCGTGTTTTCGGTCTTAAGCATTAATCTGAATGCAATAAAACGAAGTAACGTAATATACCGTAATATTGCAATACAAAACATGTCATAACCCATAGTCACTTTGAACAAACTCGTGTACCCAATAGGCGCTCGACCAAAAGACTGCTGATGGGTGACCAAAATGTGCGTCCTAGCTGTCCCACTACCTAATTGTGTAGCATAAATTAACTTAGCCAAAGAGGCAGCCTCTATTAAAACAACAACAAGCCGCTATCAGTATCCGCCACAAGTAAACAGTTTAAATGCAACCCTGTCCGCACAGATGGACGGCCAGCCGTCTCATTTGGGCGTGTTTTTGGTCAATCGCAGACACAAATAGTTAATATGAAAACAAATGGCGTGATCTATCCAGATATGCTGTTAAATACGATTGTACATCTCCATTACCATCGTTCTTTGCCCAAAAAGCGCTACCTATTAAGAAAATCGTAATTTCAGTCAGCGCGAGTGAGCTCCCTGAGTGGCAATATCTTGTGCACCAAGCCGCTTCTATCGGACACTGTTTGGATGACTTATGGTCACTCGAGGAGAATTTCGTTTAGACTTAACGGTTATGCTATTTCGGAATTGACTGCCCTTTAATAGTGTCGATATTCGCAACCAGGCAAAATGCATTCGCTGTAAATGGTAAGGGTCTGTTGGAAAAAAACATTCTGAGTAACCAATAGTCGTCCAAAATGTGGCCAAATAAGAAGGCAGGGGCCAAAAGTTCGGCCACTCAGTGAGATCCAACGGTCACTCCAGCGGACACTTAATTATCATTCGTGCGGACGGGGCAACATACGCCCCAATGGGACGGCTGGCCGTTCGTCCATGTGGATAGGGGAGCGGATTGCCTGTTATACGTGCTTGAAAGTGGTATGAAACCAGCAGTGGTCATTAGTCCGCCAAAATGCGCGGCAAGGGATCGTACTACCAAAACCCAAACTGTAGCAACCCAAAAGATATTTCTTGTTTTTTGTACACCTTTATTACTCAGTCATAGAATATTGCTTTTTGTTTTAATGCCGACTCTACGGCCATTATGAACTGCATCCGGCTCACCACTGTTCTCCACGGTGAGTTCCGGCACTGACGTACGCTCTCGTCGCTTCATTCGTTTTTCGTTCGATTGTAGCCTTCCGCGAATACAATCCGTTGTGTCCGTCTTTCTGGTTTTCTGGCATCCCTACCAGAGCGAGAACACTCTCGGACCAGTATAGACTAGTCCTACAAAACACGCACAAATGAATTTGGAATAATGAAGTAAATGACTACGTTCACTGCATGGAACAAGTAGATACAATGCACACAAGCGGTCACGGTAATTATTAAACCTACAACACCTAAAGCAATCTAATTTTTAATGACGTAAACTCGTGTATATTGCTTATTCCTCGTCCAGATTTAAACAATAACAGATAAACCACAGATAAAAAAGAGAAAATGTGAAGGTTTCTACAGCGTATGACATACTTCACTATCTGTCCGTCAAAATGTTTTCAGGCGTAGTTGATGGACAAATAACCTCGTTTATTCGTTGAAAATTTCCTGTCTTTGAAGCATGCGTGACCTTGAGTATCGGTGGCAGCATGCGAATTTATTTAGTTTAAAAGCGGGAATTTATCCTTATCATTACAGGAAGGTGTTATTCCTTCGTTTTGTTTAACCACCTGCAGGTTTGTTCTAGTAACATTTTATGTCTAGCTCGTTGACCCACCTAACCATTACTACAAAACCGCTTCAAGTTCAGGTTCGGGTGGGAATGGAACGATAGGAGAATCCCGAGAGTATTCCATCTTGAGTAGATCTTTGAGCCAGGAATTGCTAAAGTGCTCAGAGTTATTGATGGATCTAAAACGGAACAAACGTATCGCACCCTAGCCAAACAGTTATTGCCCACGTTTCTTCCCTATCAGTCCCTGCCGTGGCGGTCACGTGAAGTAAGCAAAAGATAGGAATAGAAATCGAAAATATAGAATAAGGAAGTCTACTTGAACTAAAGAAAACTTACTAATGCGGGAAGAAAATTAGAGGAAAGAACATCGAAGAAGAAAGCTGCGGGTCACTCAGGAAAAAAGACGGGTTTGGTGTTGCCACCCAAGAGCGTCAAGTTGCCGCTCAAACCCCTTAACCGTAGATTCCCTGATAACACTTTATGGAAGCATGTTTCAGCGCTCGATGACTTTATGTGATAGCCGGATTTCCGCCCTAATTCGATCGGACCGCGTTTTGTCCAGCTTCAAGGAATGACCGCATGGACCAGACAATCTAGTTGGACTGAATAGCCAATATAAACCTTGACGAACCTTTCAAGTTAAAATACGGTAGGTTACGATTAGGTCTCTTTTAAGTCTTCGGTAGTGCACTGAATGCATGTAGATGAATGTAGACGCTCGGGTTACGTCCGTCCCCGTAATCTCTCGACTAACCTAGTATTTACCCGTAAGCGCTCTCTAACTCCACTTTGCCCCGGACGAAGCAGGGCGGACAAGCCTGCACGCATTATTCCAGATCGGGCCGGACGAAAGCCGAGAACCTTCTCGTAAAGATACTACTCGTCGAGACTCCGAAAGAACATCGTGTTAACCAAAAAATGCCGAAACCTCTGGTTGCGGCCTTCTTCAATTTGGCGCCGGAGTGCAAAGCTGAAGGTTGTACGACGCCTAGATCAACCTGGCCAGATATACGGTGGAGTTCGACCCCACAGACCAGACTTCCTAGGAGAACAACCTCCTTTACTTCGAAGAACTGAGCACGTTGTCTGGTTTATGGGCAGTAACCCCTCCCTTAGCTTATCCAATGCTAGCTGAATAACTTCAGAACCCCTGGGACATTGATAATGTTCCCCAGCTTCAGCTCATCAGCAAATAATAGCGATGGTACCTCAAGCTCTGCAAATTGGTCATTCACCTAGCTAGAGAACAGCAGCGGTCCAAGGCCCGAGCCCTGCGACACGCCACTGAGGACGGACTGTCTAAACGATAGGCCGCGGCCTACCCTTATACCCTGTTCTCTACACCCCAAGAAGGCCGTCACCCAATGAAGGGCGCAGCCAGATACCTCTTGGAGGTCAATTTTTGCGCGAGCCTTAAAAGGGGTACCTTGTCAAATGCCTACGAAAAGTCTACGAAAGTCACGTCCAGTTTGTGGCCGTTTTCCACTGCACCCGCCCAACTTTCCCAACCCCCAGTGGATTCACCTTACCCGAACGTCCCTACCGGAATCCGTGTTGTACATTGCTAAGTTGATTAAATCTAATTAGATGGCACTCCAATGAAGCTCTCACCAGTTTCTCGAGGAGTTTGACTACTAAACCCCTGTGGCTAACTGGTCTGAAATTTGCAGGCAGACACATGTCCCCATTTTTGAAGATGAGCCAAATGATAGCTTCCTTCCATTTGGAAGGCAATGCACAGCTGTCAAGCGCTTTCCGAAACTCCATAACGAGCGGTACACTTTTAGTTCCGCAGCCAACAAATGCAACATCTTTGAGGGAAGTAACTCAGGTCCAAGGAATTTAGAAGGGTCCAGCCCTTTTAACGGCCTACGAACTTCCGTCTACGCCACAATGAATTCAGATAGTCCGGAACCCTCTGGGATTTTGCAAACCAGCTCAACGCCTGTCAAAGAGGTTGCCGTTACAAAGGCTGCCGCATGCTGCCCAATAAGTACGCAGGCCTTGTCATAGTCCTTATGCACATGAGTACCGTCATCACGCATCGATACCGGAATTGACCTGTTCGAGCCGCAGCGCAACTTGACATACGCGAAGAACACTTTGGATTCTCTGAAGCTTCTTCTGCTAACCCTTTCTCGAAATTGACCCGAGCACCCCTTAGGAGTTGCCTACACCTACTTCTAGCCTTACGGTACCTGTCATAAGTATCGGTGGACGGAGCATCTCGCTAAGTCCGCCAACATCTAAACCTCTTTGTGAGCAGATGCCTGCCGGTGAAATCTATCTAGGGCGGCTGTGCTCGTGTCTCCCTTCTCCTTGTGACTGGGATGAAGGGTAGAGAGAACGCTGTAAGGTGGGATTTACATTGATCTCAGGCAACCCGGACAGTATCGTCGGCTGTGCTCTTTCACTGATCGATAGGCGGCGTGCCATATGTTCGGGCGAGACTCAACAGTACTCTGGTAGCATCTAGACAGAGTACAACTGAAGCGCAAGCAAACTTGATCACCGGAACCCAATGGAGGTCCGTAATTAAGGTCACCAACAAAAGCTAGTAACTTAACAAATACAAGTTCTAAAATAGACGGTACCTGGGCGTCCATGTACCTAGGGCGGCGGTCATTGAACGGAGACAAAGGTACTTGGAGCGTAAGCTCAAGTAGACCAGCACCGTAGGGGCCTGACGCTGAGTCGCGACACAGATCATCCCAGCAAACCTCTGGGAGGTTGCAGTGGCTAAACACCAAAAACTTGTTTGCGGACTGGGAGGGAATGAATTCAAGTAGCTATTTGGATATGCTCCCAGGGTTTCTATACACCATTACAGCTGTACCCTGAGCTGATGATGTGCTAATCACATCCGACAGAGCTTCAACAGTTTTGGCGGCCGACTGAAATAAGCAAGTCCTAAAACCGTGAAGTTTATAGCTCACATAAATGCAACGCCCCCTCCCTGCCGGCCAGCGGAGTGATGGCATCTAAACAGTGCATAGCAAGATGGACGTACTTGACCATCCGTGCTGTCCTGAAATTGCCACATTTCAGCAAACGCGAGTATGACGGGATGAGGCCCATCTACAGGCAGACTTGACTCCTATACGTTATTGCTTAGGCTGCGCACATTTCTTAGCACTATCTGCAGGTATTCGTTTGTTCCGGACCTAGGATTATAGGAGAATCTCGTGAGTGTTCCTGCTTGAACAGCTTGTTGAGCGAGGAGGTGTCAAAGCGTTCTGAATTCGTGATAGAGCTGACGCGATGAACCTGCATCACATCCCAGTCAACTAACTACCGTCCGCCTTTCGTGAACTAGCCGTTCTAGATGTGTCACTAGTAACATACGTCCGATCAAGGTTTTAGAGGATTGCTATGCTCAGTGCTTGCAATGGTTGTTAGTGACCTTGGGGAATAAAATACAGATCAGATACTTTAGATGTCCGGAGATTTCTCCTGTTTGCCTGCATAGAATTCTGACTAATCTTATTACGTCACTGCACGCATAGGTGCTCAGGCCGAAGTGCTGCAATTCATGTTGCCTTTGATTGTGAAAGTTGTACACCGCCTTTACTTGGAGCTCGTTTCGGTTGCAACCCAGTCCGCTCTTGTGCGCCGCAGTTATTTGATTTATTTTCACTCACTAACAGCATTAGTATTGATGTTGTTGTAACTGAACAAAAGAGGATCCTTAAATGTAAAATAAAAGTTTACAATGAAGTAGCGAGTAAACTCATTTGGCCCAGGAAGCACTTCGTCACTACTAGATGCTTGCAGACAGCCATTACACACACGGAAAAGCACGGTAAGTCCATTTTATCTTTTCGAAAATCGTCAAATGTTCAGGATCCGTGTGATTCCTATAGGTACTGAATTCGCAATTCGACTGCTACTTGGCTGCTTTTAAGAATATCAAGCTACGGGAGCGGCAACGGCCACCTCGACTAACTCGCTCTACGTGATATAGCATCACTTCTTTGCACTTGTTCTGCCTTCTGCAATCCCTCTTTGGAATCTCGCCGAAAGCAGGTCCCCGATTAACTAATAATTGGCAACTACCTATATTTCTCAGTTGCTCTGGTGAGCACGTTCTAGTTATTTTTCAGATATTCCCTTTAACGTTGCCTACGGTAGCATACTTTGTGGGCATCCTTTTACCATGTTTTCCGCACGTCTTCGGACAGTGCATACTGATATTCATTTTATTCGTCTCAAAATTTTGGGACACAGGTATTCGCAAGTGTGTTACTTCTCTAGTGCCTGAATATTGTACTCACAATATTCTACGGATTACGGTGATAAAGTAAGTTTATGCCATATCCCTAATAATTATCCATGGGGGTAGGATACGTCATCATTTCACATACCCAAAGCCACCGCGTCTAGCAAAACAGCCAGAATTATACGTATCATACACTCTGAGAAGGTTTGCCCAAAGCGCTTTTTGCTAGGTACTACGGCTGGGTGACGAGCTGTGCATAACTCTGTTAGATGAGATGCGGCAATGCCCTGGTTCCTCGACAACGGACGCGACACTACTTCGCGTGTTATTAAATAACCAAATGGATGGTTTATCCTCGGCAGTGCGATGCATGTTTGCGAAGACATGAGCAGAAAAATATTAACATGCATAATCTATATGTCAGAATGTAACCAGTAACATACTGTACCTATGTATGCATGTAGAGGTATGGGTAATTGGGAGTGGAGAAGGAATTTGTTATTTTGAACTTGCATTCATGCTTTTTCGCAGTGGTCACCATCATACGGAGGGAGACCTTGAACCCTTCGAACTGGATGACGTTGGTAACTTGAGCAAGGTCCTCCGGAAAATGATTAGGCAAGGAATTTAGTTAGTGGCAGTTACGTCCGCCAAGTCAAATGGTTGTTAACAAGATAATTGTGGCTGTCTGTAAGGGGAAAGCTGA